GGAAACTGGCGGGGAAACCTTTGGGTCGTTTACCACGTTTCCGCAATATCGGAATCGCGACCGAAATTTGCATGCCTAATTGATCCACTGGGTACTTTCTTGTTAATTAAGATGGTACATGAAACATTGGAAATCAAAATGTGTGCGGATTATTTCAAGGATAAACCTCGTGTGGGGCACAGTTTATTTCTTAACAGGGTTTTCATGAGTATAGATTTAATTTAAGAAACAAAACATGATTAAATGGAAGGACACAAAGCCAATCATTTACGCATCTTTTTCCCCTGATGTTTTATTTTATCTCAAATCCAGTTACATCCAATCATCTCATAAGCAAGTGAACCAGCCAAACTTAAATAAAAATCTTTTCCAAAAATGTCTTTTTAACTTTGTGGGTACATGTATATTTTGTTTCATTCATTGGCAATGGTACCAATGCATCATATTAAAATTTATTTGTAGTTATTTATGTTCGCGCGTCTTAAGATCCCGTGTACGCGTGTATGTGTGGTGGTGGGGGTGAATTTTGTTAAAGCCACTGGATGACCTCCAGTTTCAACTGAGGCCAGGCTGTCCCACCTCAGTGCTCTTGGGAGTTAATATGTCCTTGTTCTGTCTCCCAGTGATCGACCACGGGCTGTTTCTGTACCACCCAGTGGAACCACGTGCATTTGTGCACTTTCATTATTCAACCACTTTTACACATAAATGTACACTGTACACGTACATTGTACATCTACAAAGTTATCATGCATTAGCAATGCCTAAATTAGAGTTATTTGTCCACTTGCCCACTTTTTGTGAATGTGTCATAATAGACCCATGGTATGAGTTAATTAAGATGAAAAACATAGTCTCACATTTCATGTGATTCACAACACAAAATAAAGCTATATACATGTAAACGAACATTAAACACGGTGCACCAAGATCAATAAAATACGAAGCGGACACCCAGTGTTGTTTTGATCGTTTTTTAGAAAACTTCATAAGAATGGAAACTAGAAATCACAAAGAAAATTTGGGGAGAACTCTTTCAATTCAAATTCAAGGGAATTATAAATCCAGTCCCAATTTAACAACAGTATAAAAAAGAAATCTTTTCTCACTTGCCCTTGATCATAAATCCTTTTTTCTCGATAAAGTGGTGTTTCCAATGTGTAAAACAAAATCAATTGGCTTTTTCATTTCCAAAATCCTTTAAATTGAACTGAGGTTGGCGGAGTGCAGAAACTTTGAATGGTTTTAAAATACAATAAACCCGAAAGTAGCTTAACATAAAGCAACAAACAACAAAAGCTTTTACTTTGCATGTTCTCTCTAAAAATCGAGTTCAACCTTAATATTTTATTTACCGATTATGAATAGACAAAAAAACAGGAATGGGTATTAAATATATGTAGGCCTATAACTAATTTGGCGGGGTTCGCACTGCCCAAGAGGGAGCACCTGATGGCGGAGGGCGAGAGGAAGGCACATTCGAGATGACAAATTCAGGAAGCAACCTTGAAACTACTGCAGGAGCGGTCTTTGCAAAGTGTGCATCCAGCTTATGTTTAAGTGATGCCAGCTTTGACCGCTCCCACGGCAGTTTCAGGAGCCTTCTGGTTTTGCATCCAGATGAGCGATCCTCCTCGCCCTCCGACATACTCTCCTCGGAAGACATGTAGTCTATTGTCAACACCTCGAGGGCTTCCTTTTTGAGCTCTTGGGAAGCCTGTAATGTTTTCAGGGCGCTTTGTCGCCTCTGTAGTTTCTGTTTAAAAGAAAGAAATTGAAGGGAAAAAGTCGATGAGCAGGTGACACAAAAATGAGCATAAAGTTCTCTCGGCAAATCAAGACAAACACAAAGGGCTTAAACCTTGAAAATCACGTGAAGCTTTGTATAATTAGTTCCACTCGTATTGAAACGCATGTCAAATACTGTAAGATACCATGCGAACTAAACGAAAAGACCCCTTGAAACTTTACTCAAACATGAACCCGTGCCATCAGTTCAAACATTGCTTTAAAGTGATGTCTTATGCGAAAGGACAATTCAACATGAGAAATATATGAGAGGGAAGAACTCACCCTGAATTTCCTGCTTCGCCTTTTAGCCGCCAGTGCGTGCTGATCGTATGTTCCACGCTCCATGCGGCGCTGCTTGTCACGAAGCGACGTGAAGTACGTTTTGGCAGCTTCTGCATAAAGAAATTTTAAACACAATAATACGCATGAATTTTTATACTGTCAGGTATAAGCATTGATATATACCCGGACATACAGATAACAGACGTCAGAAACAGCCATTGCCAAATTCCACTACAGCCGGGCTATTAGCCAATTATGTCATATAAATTTCAGGACTATACGTAGGCATACGCTGCCCATTTCCGCAAATTAAATTGCATTTCTAAACTCATCTTACAGAGATTTAAGACAATTGACAATGTTTTTAACACATCCCTGAGGACATTTCGTTCAACTTTAACACTAAAAGATTCAAATAATTCTAATCTTACAAGAAAGAGTGTTAACCTTTCCCGATCTCAATAGCTGGGCTTGTATTGTGACAATATTCACCAAATGCATATCCTAAATACTGCATTTTCACCTACTTCGTATTTGAGCAGAACTCCATTTTTCTCGTCCATGAAGAGTTCTGATTTCTCTGGTTAACGTCGAAATTGTCTCTTCATTTTCTCTGGAAGTTTTGCTATAAAAAGTAAGCATTTGCATATGATAATTCACAGTGTAAAATCTTCTCTTCTTTTATTTGCAAAGTCAGTTGGTCATTTTGATAATATTAAAATGATAAACTGTGTACCACTAGTTTAAAGAGGAAAACAAATTAAGTGATGGAAATGTCACATGCCGCCTGCATGATAAATTTGATACGTACATTTGTGCCAGGTTGAATCCTCCAATCCCATCTCTGTACAACTTTCCGTACACGTCCCTCACAGATTGCTATGAGGAAAGAAAGGGTTGATATAAACTTGTCAAGAACATTTATTGTAACTACAGTTTTCCTTACATGTACTTATCATTAATGCCACCGTTTTTCTTTTCCCATAGAATGTCATGCACAAAAGTCGCTGAAAAAGTTAGTTAACCGCCCTGTTCCTCGTTTGCTTGTTTCTGTTTTCCCATAATTCTTTGCATTCATTGTAGCCTCATTTTAAGTCTTATTAATGAGTACAATTTTAATTTCCTCACATAAAGATTATTCAATGTTTAAAGTTGCGGTGCTTATCTGAAATTGACGGAAATCAGCATTTCAAATTGATTTAAAAGGAGACAAAATTTAAAAAAAAACATTTTTCATAATCTCACCGAGCATTCACGAGGAACAGCAACACGTTTTCCTCTCGAATTTACCTCCCCTTGTCGCATATTTTGTCTTATCTCTTGGAGCTCCTCGTTTTGCTTTTTGAGTTGTTCCTCGAGTTTCTTGTTTTGCATGTACAACATGCGCAGGGTGATCTCAGATGGTGCACTTGAAGCCTGAACCCGCAATTACAGATAAGGACATGTACTGTAGGTTAACACAAGCTGGCTGTGCCTCTGTTGTAAACTTAATTTACTCAAACTTTAGCAAATAAGCTTGTTTCGTTTAATTTAAAACTGTACAGTTTCGCCTCCTCAATCTATAAATAACACCTGGTTGAAAAGTATGTTTACAGGGTATTTGCACAGACAGAACAAAGTTTCGTGTACCCGCAGTTGAAGTGTGCATTTCTAATGTCGGAAATGTGATCGGGCATTGCAAATGCACCTGCAAGTACGTGTACATGTTTAACATCAACACTTTTTAATGTCCCTTACAGGTACCACAGCAAAATGTTGTATTTATTTTCGAGTAATTCTTAAAAGTTGGCTCATACAAATCACAATTCTCATGCATCGCAAATCATTGCATAAATGTAACAGGGACATGCTAAAAAAATGTCTTCAATTTTCATACTGCTGAAACTCACCACTGAAATGTTTCCTGCCGAAGTACCATGCGACGATGAGGTCTGTCCACTCCTCGCAGAAAGTAAAGATACTGTGGATTCTTGACTTTCTGTGTCACTCTCATCGGTACTCGGAGATGGCGAAGAGGTGGATTGTGGAAACCCGAGTGCGTTAAACGAGGAAGACCCACTGCTGCTGGGCCGAGAATGACCACGATGGCCAAGTGCGGGTATACTATGTGATATATCGAGCATTGTTGTACTATTGCCGGGTTGTAAACTGTCTTGATCCTCAGAAGAAATTGTTTCTAATTCTAGAAGTGTTTCCTCTCGTGTAAACAGTCGACGCCGCGGCAAATCTTCGATATTTGGAATTTGTCTCGTTCCTCGATTCATTTTTCCTGTACGTGTTGCTAACATCAACCCCAGATACATAAATGCGGCACGCAATGCCAACAAGGGTGTATGGCAGACAACAGCGGTTATGAATTATCGAAAATGGCGCGCAAAGTCGTGACGGGCCAATTGGAAGGGAGGAAACTCTGTGATTACATATGCAGACCCTGAATTATGCCAAGACTGTCTCAGTCTGGTAGGGTGTTGTGTTAGTCATCACATTTTGCTGCTAGTGACAGTCTCAGAAAAGCTTTGAACTCCATGAAACAGTGAAAGGGCACGCTGAGTCTCCGAAGGCCTCTTTAGCCAGTAAGAGCAGCTGGACGCTCACTTAGTTTTCAGACGGTGATCTGCTTTCTGTAACTGAAGGTGAGAAACTTGCCTATTTCAACTAGCATATCATGTACGGCCTTATTTCACAATCCCAGGTTTGTTTGAGATGTTATTAACTTTTAAAATAGTTGTGCAATTATGCGTAAATTACAATGGGACTTTGTTTGTATCAAGTATATTAATAGCAGAGTTTTCTCCTTTATATGAAAATATTACCATTGGCTGTAGGCACTGTGAAGATATGACTTTGATGGTGTTCTTACAACCATTTGCAGATATGAAGGTCAAACGGAAAAGTTGCCCCAATTGTGGCACAAAATTCTCTCGAAGAGCCTTTTTTTTACCATAAACATAAACACTATGATGGTAACATGTGGACTTGTGGCAACGATCAAACCAGGACGTTTTCAACTGATAAACTGACACAAGCAGGTACGTGCAGCCCTACTCGCTTTATTGGTAGGATTTGTGCAGATTTGCTATATGTAAGTGTGTCTGTTGTTGATTTTGTCTTTTCCGCTAATTATATGTGTACTCCTTAAGATTTTTTTCAAAATTTAAAATGTATTGAATCCCGTTCACGCTAAGGAGAAAGAGAACTCTGTAAATAAACGTTTAGAACGTACGTACCTAAGCGTGTAATTGACAATTTACTATGATGTGATATATCCTCAAAATGTGTTGGTTTTGTGCAATGGGATGTGACACTTTTTACTTGTAAAGCTAAAAAGTATAATCAAGTAAGTGATGAGTTTTTCCTATTCATTCGATACCCACCTCTTGACTGGTTTTTCAAAAAGCAATACCTGCAGTAATTTCATTGCTTGTGATATTATGAATATTT